GATAATCATCTAGGAGAAATTTCATCTAGACAATTTCAGTTCTGAAAGATTAGAATATTATAACATAAATAAATAATACTGTAGACAGCGAGTGTCTAAAGAACTTATTTTTAATATAATCATGCAGACACCTAGTTTCTGGACCAATACAGTCACAACATAATCGAAGTAGGATATTTAATAAGATCTAGCCTTAAGATACATGTCCATGTTAATAGGGCCAAGTTAGTCATAACTACCTTGTCCTATGGATTTAAGTGGTCTATGCTAATCATCACAGTGTCTGGTTCCATCACCTTATCTTCAACTAATATTTCCAATCATGTCTCAGAAACAAAAGAATGTACAAACATTGCCAAAACTCGTCCGTGTGAAGCAAAGTATTTTCTAAATGTACATAAGGTGCAGGTTCCTTAAATTCCAGTAGTTGGGTGAGGTGTCCAGCGGTTGCTACATTATTGGGTTCCTGGTCCAAAAATGCTGAGCCCTTTTTGGACAACTCAGTGATTTTAAGCACTGAGGTGATTGTGTTTTGCGTCACAGAAGTTTAATGTATTCATTTCCTTCAGTTCTGGAGTTTTGTTCTAAGTAGATCTACCTAAAGGAATCCATTCCAAACATTTCTATGATTGCATAAAATAAAACTGAAATATTATCTATTAAACTTTAACAGGAAAACTAAGGCTGATTTTAAAAGTCCATGCATATGAACATTTGATACTTTCTGGCTTTCCTTTAGATGGGAAGAAAACTAGTGTACCGGTCACAGCCTCCAAAGACTAAGCAAGAAGGAGAACACATTACAGATGCAACTACAAAAAGTGAAGATGATTACTACTTTACTTGAATTTTTTTGCAAAACGTGTTTTTAGACTAGTTATAGCTCTTGCTCCTAGCATAGTGTAACAGAGACACATAAAGTAAATGGTGACAGAATAAATCTGATCCTGTTTGCTTTAAAACTTTTGAATTAAGACTAAATAATCCCAGTTTTAGGAACTATCAGACATATCACTTTTGTTGTTTATCTTCCATATTGATTATTTCTTTCAACAATATGTAGTTTTCTGTCCCCCCACAAAAAATTTAAAGTTACAAAACATGAATTAAAAAAAAAACTACAATTGAATATATATTTAACACATTTTTTAAAAAAACAAGGTTTTCCAACATTATTCTCTCATTTCTCCATCTTCTTCTTCTTCCTCTACACCTCTTATATACAGAACATTGTTGCACCTGGCAATAAAGATATAGGTTATTTTTGCTATAATTCACATGAATTTAAAAGAAAACTGATTTCTATAGCTGGTTTCCATTCAAATATAATTTTTAATACTATATTTGGTGCTATGTTTAATTAATATTAAAATTGCCTGTTTATTGCATTTGCATCATTACTTTAGTACATTTTTCTATTGCTGTCAAATACACTAATGCACAAATTTCAAATTAGTATAAAAAAGCAATAAAGAAACAGTGTTTTATAAAGAATAAAATCAGGTGTGAGACAAGCAATTTTTGGCTCATGTAACAGTATTCTAGTATTCTGCTTTCCCAGTCCTGTGCCTTCCATTTTCACTTGTCATTAAAATCTTGGGGACCCAACTGGACCATATTGTGAAGGACAAAGGGAATGCAGGGGAGAAGAAGAAACAGTGCTTTCTGATTGTTCTAGGATAATCATCTAGGAGAAATTTCATCTAGACACTTAACAGAATATTTAAAATCAAGAGCTTATTCTATCCATAAAGTATTTGATTAGTATACATTTTCAGACATCAAGAAGCAGTGTTTTATAAAGAATGAAATCAGGTGTGAGACAAGCAATTTTTGGCAGTCCTCAGGTTACAGTAGCAATGAGGACTGGAATTTCCGTCACTAAGCAATGCAGTTGTAAATCATGTCATGTGACCTCATCACTTAGCAACAACAATTCCAGCAGTCCTGGTTGCCATTGTAACTCCAGGACCATGCAGATTGTTAAGCGAGGACCTCACACGACTGTGACATGGGAAGAGGCAGGAGTCTCAGTCAAGCAGGCCAGTGGGTGAGAGCTGTGGGTGGGCAGGTGCCACGGGCAGGCACTATGGAGTGCAGGCAGGTGGGTGCTGTGGGCAGGTGCTACAAAGCATGGGCAGGTGGGTGAAAAAGTGGTGGGAACAGGAGCAACCTGCGACTTCCTACTGGCTTTCCCATTGACTTTGCTTGAGGAAAGGTGGCAGGGAAGGTCACAAATGGCAATCACATGACCGTGGGGCAGTGCAACCGTCATAATCGCAAGCCTGTTGCCATGTGCCCAAGTCATGATCACATGACTGCAGGGACGCTGTGATGGTTGCAATTTCACAAACCAGTCTAAGTCCCCCATGTTCAGCACCGTCATAACTTTGAACAGTTGGTGAACAAGTGGTCATTACCCAAGGACTACCTGTGGTTGATAAATGTTATTTATTTGTTAGATTTATAATTCAAATTTTCTCCAAGAGTTTAAGGCAATTCACATGGAGGCTTCCTCTCATTTTATTACCACAATAATCTGGCAAGGTAGATTGGGACTAAAATGTAGCAGTTGGACCCACATTTTCTAATAAGCTTCCACAGCTGAAGGTGGATTTTAACTTGTCTCTCTTTGCTACTCATCCAACACTTCAACTACTATTACCACACAACTTAATTTTAACCCACTCATTTACATGCTGAAGTTACCTTATCAGAACTTCACCAAGATGTCCAGACAGCGCACCATCAATATATTCTTCTGTATTGGCAAGCTTTATGAAAATAAATGAATATTATTAGATGGGAGAGTTACACACATTCCTTTTAGAGAACACTTTCTACAACCCATTCTTAAAATTTAACAGAATTTCAAACATTTAGTATGCTTAGTTGGTGGTTCTCAAACTATGAAGACTTCTGGGATCTTATAAGGCGTCTATCATATGCATGAAATATAGAAAACATTTTTTTTTAAAAAGGAAGCATTACACAGATCTTCAGCTAACACATACGGTGATCAAGAAATATTTCATGGCCTGGTATGAGGTGGCAGGCAGAGAAAAAACAGGCTGGCTTAGGAGGCAGAATACAAGGAAGAGCACCAGCCAGTTAGGATTCCTCCTAGCCAGCACATTTCTCTCCCTTCCTGCATACAATATATGCCATCTATTCCTGCTGTTGCCACATTCCTGGCATCATGCCTGGCTGGGATCCATGTAAGCTGCCCATAAATGTTCTCATACCATAACAGTAATGCTGTTGTCTAGGTGCTGCCAGACCTACCCAGCTAACTGACAAGGCTCCTGGGGCATCCTGCCTCCTGCCACCCTTTTTCATATTTCCTTTCTTCCATAAATTTTGACACACCTCAGCCTTAATGATGAGGGCAGTGCCAACATACTTTTTTCTCCATCCCCTTTCCTCATTAGAAGGGCCATAAGGCAGAGGCTCCCTGCAGAAATGGAGGAGGTAGACCCTGGTCCATGCCTGCAGTCCCACGCAACCAACCAATAGCATCCCCACTGGCAAAGACCCCTTTGTCTGCTTGGTATCCACCGCTGCACACACACTCACCTGGGGAGTCAGTGCAGAACAGGCCCTTCGAGAGCCCTGGCTTTGCCTGTGCCTGCCTACACCCTGGCAGGGAAACAAGGAGAGTGCACTGGCTTCCCTAAACCAGCACAAAAGGCTCCTTGAGCCAAAAAAGAAAATAAGTACACAGGTGGGGAGTGTGTTTGGTCATTAAAAAATATTTATACTTTGTTTTTAACTTCCTTTATTTAACCTTTTCTGAACAAGTGTGTATATACGCATAGAGGAGGGGAGGAGTCTATGGAAGAGGAAGACAATGTCATAGTCCCTTGGGACTACCTCTGTAGGTCGCTAAAAGATTTCCTTTCCTGAGCAGGAAATAAATATTTATTTGTACTTATGTAATACTACTTTTCAGATGATGCATGTTTAATAAAAAACAAACTCATTTAAAAGCATCATTCATGATTGAATTCACAGCTTTTTGACTTTTATCTTTTATTTCAGTCAATAGATATACCAAGTAGAATTACTATCATATAGGGCAGGGGTTCTCAAAATATGGCCTGTGGGCTAGATACAGCCCGCCAGGGTCATTTATCCAGCCCACCCGCCTGATTGGCCACCGCTGCTGCCTGTCAGAAGCAGAAGTGTCGGGGCTGTGTCAGGGGCTGCAGGCAATGCACGAGGAGGGAGATCGCAGAGCCGGACTATTCTACATGACAGGTATGCCGGGTCCGGCGGCTCTCCTCCTCTCCTCATACTCCGTGGGAGGGATCCTCTGTGCAGGGTGATCGGCGGGGTCCAGGGTGCCCTATTACTATACTTTTTCAAACTATAGTTCGGCCCCCCAACGTTCTGAGGGACCGTGAACTGGCCCCCTGTTTAAAAAGTTTGAGGACCCCTGATATAGGGGTTTGCAAACTTTTTTTTAATGTTACAAAGGGCTTCATACTCAAAAACGTAGGGGATCACTGTCCTGAATTTAATATACAATTCAATTGTGAAAAAGTGAATTTATTATTTAAGAAAACTCTTGCTGTACCTCCTAATAATACATACGTGTACATGCAATTCTATGTAGGCTAGCAAGCAGTCCGGCACCAGGTAGAGAGATCACAGCCGCCTGCTCATTTTCCATTCTGGCCATAGAAGAAGAGTCCCCTCTTCTTCATCTATCATGTAAATACAATAGGCTGGTGGAGTTGATAATTCTGTTCTTCCTCTACCAATCAGCTTAGTAGAAACCGGGGTTTTTTTGGGGGGGGGAGTGTTGGTAAACTAAGAATCTAATTTGTATTTCAATGTTATCCACAAAGAAAACCTCCCCTCCTCCAAATCCAGGATTTGGTTCATAATTCTTACAGACGTCCATGAGTTTATAAGGGTAGGTTTGTGGATGTTACATTTCAAATATTTTAGTTTACTTTGTTAGTAATAACACTGTACGGTATGAACACTGCAAAGTATGAACACTGCAAAAGTACAAACAACAAAGCATGAATCCTAAGTTAAATTGCCAATAAAATGTAGAGATTAACCTGATTGCTAAACTTAGCAATTGGGCTTTGCATTTCGTTGTTTGCTTTTTGCAATATTCATATAGTTCAATACTATATTTGCATAGATTAAGCCTCAATTTATTTGCTCAAATGTAATCCCTTACTGTACTCTGGTACAGCACAGAGGCAGCATCTTCTCCAGCTGCATAACATGGATATTTTCTTCCAGCCTGACTTACCTGCATATTCATGTAGCCATCAACCGATACAAGGTAGCCCTTGTACTCCATTCCCCACTTCAATTTCACCATTACTGGTTTCCCAGTCAGCCCATTTAGGAATGGCTTTGGATTGAGAGGCAAACTCTGCATGGATAATGAAATATAAAATCAGCCCCCCACTAGTTAGACCAAACTCTTATCTAGATTAGAGTTTGATTTCTAAGGTTTATCAATAACAAGTTTAAGATAAAGACTATAGCATTTCAACAACTGTTGCTGAGAGATACCTTTAATTCTATAAATGCCATATAGGCATCTTGACTTTTAGGAACTTTTATTCTTATGACAGCCATAACCCAACCTACTGGTCTCAATAACTGAGACATTATTTCAATTCAATTAACTGAGACAATTGGGGAAGGGTGCTCTAAAAATCTGTCTAATCCTCTTAAAATTGTCCAAACTGGTGGGCATAATTACATGTTGTATTACCTTAGTGAATTCAGAGCTAACTTCTTTACGAAGATGTGCTGTTTCCTCCACCTTAAGTCTTTCACTATTCACCTCAAACTTGAGTTCTAGCACCATGGTACCATCCATGATACACCTTTAGCAGGCTTTATCTTACTGGCTTTTTAAGCTTTAGCTAAACAAGCCCCAAACACTGTGACAAGAACTCCCTCCCTCCCTTTCTCTCTCTTTTTTCTCCAATTTATATAGCCTCCCATCTCACCACAGGTGAGTCTGAGAGGCGTACAGCAAAGCTAAAAACAGTCAACTATATATATACTGTATATTACAGTATTCTGACTGTACTCAAGCCACATATTTGCCTGAAGGCATCCTAACACTAGGAATTTTATTTTTAATCCCCCAGGAAGGGTACACTGAGAGTCCCTCTCCAAAGGAGCTCCATCTGATGGGACCCAGGCGACATGCCTTTTCTGCTGTGGCCCCTGCCCTTTGGAACATCATTCCCGCCCCACCCGAAGTGAGGTTAGCCCCATCTTTGTTAGCCTTCTGGGAGGTCCTTAAAACATGGTTTTTCCATCAACCTCGGGGTTCCCGTGGGGAGCCTGCAAGGTGGTTGCATGAAGTCAAGTGACTGTTCTCCCACAATCTTGGGTTTTATGTTTTTTATTCTATTTACGCCTCATTGTTTTAAGATTATGTAGTTTTAACTGTTGTTACGTTTGTATGCTGCCCAGAGTCACGTTTTCGTGAGATGGGCGGCTATATAAATATGCTAAAAAAATAAATGTACGTATGTTCCGGCATGGTGTAAGCAATAAAAGTTGCAACTTCCCTGAAAAGTAGAGCCCATTCTTCTCCCCACCATATACACAGACACACACCCACACAGAAAACTAGGAATCTGCAAAAATCAGGACAGTCCATTAGCCATTCTAGCTCGGTACTGTGGAAAACAGCCTTTCCCAGCCTGGTGGGTCCATCCAGCTAGGAGTGATAAGAACTCTACCCCAACACATCTGCTGGGATAAAAGCATATTAACCTGCGACGGTTGGGATAACCCGCAGCACCCCGCCAAAACTGCAGCCAAGAAACTCTTCCTAAGCCGCGGTCGCAGATGCACCACCCCGAACCCGGGACCTTCCGAACGCGCTCCACTTCCCCCTCCCCTACTCACCATAGCAACCCGGCCAGGCGAGGGGCGGCTGCGACTGCAAAAATTACTCGCGGGCAGCACGTGCGCCCGCCAAACTTGCAAAAGAAAAAGCCGGGAAGTGATGTCACAAGTCTTCTCTTTCCTCGAGCAGAGACGCCTTCCTGTTGACCTTTCACCTGCACGGAATAACGTTCCCTCGTCCCGCTGATAGACTTGCACATTTTCCTATCTCTATGGTCCCAGGCGAAGGCGGGAAGAAAGGGCACGCTCCGATAGGGGAGTTTCCAGAGACTAAGAGGAAAGGCGGGGTAGAGCGGCTGAGTTTGGCTGAAGCAGAAGAGACAGTAGAGAGTGACTGGCTGGTTGTGTGAGAGAGCCTCGATGAGAATGCCTTTAATCAGTGCCATTGGCTGATTTCTTACGCGGTACAGTTAGAGTCCTCCGGCCCTTGGTATCCAGATTGCAAAAACGGGCAGTGCACGTTATTAGTGAAAGTAGAAAGTCTGTTCTGCTTTAGGCTGAAACTAAGCGCAGTTGCCAGCTACGATGGTGCATAACTTTCTCACTGGAGGATTTAGAGGATTTTTGCTAAGAAGATTCCTTCTGGCTTCCCTGTAATTGTGGAGCCTGTGGAGCGGGACCAGGGGATGCAATTGCTCTAATGTTCACTGTTGTGCACCAGTTTATAAAGACCTGTACCTTTGAGCAGTGAATGACTAATTATTAATGGTATAGTCGTGGGCATGTTTGCTTCAGGTTTTTCCACGCATCCTCATCACCATGGTGGAAAGACTTATTTCATTGGTTGCAGAAGCAGCACAATTTATGATATAATTTCCTCCTGGTCCTAAGAGAGAAAAGAAGCACAGCAAAGTGGCTGTCTGGATAAGCCCTTAGAAATAAGCTTCATATAACCAGTAGAGCATTATCCAAGAGGACAATCTAGAGTATGCTGAGGAGGAGCCTTTAAATGAGATGGGCAAGGTTGGCATTATGCTCTGCTCCAGTTGTCCCAGCAAGTCTCCTGTGGGACTGCCCCCACAACTCAGTGCTATCACTGGGTGTTATGACTCCAGGGTCATTTGGCTATTAATGCAAGAAAGAGCAGACACTTGCATAGCTGATTCCTTCTCTGGGGGGAGGGTTGGACATGGGGATATCAATCTCATGGAAGATTCAGTGTGGATCTTCTAGGGCAGTGGTTCCCAAACTTTTCTATGCCCCACACCCCTAGGAAATGTTTGATTAATGTTCGCACTCGATACAAAAGTAATATCACATTTGAAGATGAAGAAGCCTAATTTCTAATGCGGATGAACAAATTGTACTTAAAAAAATAAGCTTTTAACTCAGTGCATAAAATTGTCACACTCCCTAAAATTCCATCTCACACCCCATGGGGGTGTGGGCACCCCAGGTTGGGAACCCCTGTTCTAGGGGATATTTATTTCCATTGGTTAAAAAAAATAAACCTACAAAATATTTGTCCCTTAAAGATTCCAGAAGACTCATGTCAGCTCCTTCTCTCACTTTACCAGCCTGCATGGCCTTCAAATGTATGGACTTCAACTCACAGAATTCTCTGCAATGGTCATCCTCCCTCAGAATTCTGGGAAAGATTAAGTACGTTAAGGAATCAAGCAATCTTGTAACATTACGAATTTATATGGGGTATTTGATAGCAACAATGGAAATACTTTCATTCCTGAGCTGTACTTGTTTCTGTTTTCAACTAATTGTGGTGCAAGTTGTATCCTCTAAGGTTGCCTCCAATCTGGACAATATTTAAGAACATAATGATTAATGGTCATATTTTATTTGTTCCATCAAAAAAAATTGTTAGCGTATGAATGGCTGTGGTAAGAAATCTTTGCATCTGTTTGCTGTGATCTTGTACAGTGGGGGCACTCTGGCAAGGAACATCTATAAAGCTTATGTATATGAGCTTACTTTTAATTGTCAAGAATAAATTTATTGTGCCAAATTATTTCTACTGGAAATGACCTTGTATTACTATTTTTTTATAGTGTGTGTGTATGTCCGTAGATATAAACATAACATCTGTGCCTTGCTACTGCAGTTTAAAGATTAAGCAATATATGATGCACTATTATTAATTTGCAGCAAGTTAGATTTCTGGTACAGTAGATTTGTTGTGCTTGTGAGAAACATTAGATCCATGGCATCTTGCAGTATGGAATGCCAAACATGTTTCTAAAGATTGTAGGTTACAATGAGTCACTGGTCTCTTGCATCAAGTGGAGCCAAAAGCAAATGACCCAAGGTTACATAGATCTTATATGGAATGTTGATATGTATAAGAGCATGCACACATTCTGTAGAGAACCCAAATACATTATAAATGATAAGGATGCAAGATATCAAGAACTGAGGCATGGGTACCATTCAAAGTGTGAAGACACTACAATAACATTCTTTGAAATGCAACATAGCAGCTTTGATATGCAAAAAGTGTGAAGATGCTAATTGTTATTTTAACAAGCAAAAAATCAGAAGTCTAATAGCACCTTTTCTGGCTAATGAATTGTATTAAAAGACATAAGCTTTCATGAGCTACAGATCACTTCATCAAATGCCATGGGGTGGCTAGACTGAGGCAGGATTTAAATTGGGATGAGGTGGGTGAAAGAAGGAAAAGAGAGAAGAAAGAGTGGCTATGTGAGACAGATTACCTTATCAATTAGCAATTATAACGTTCTTTAAAAAATCTACAGTATTGTGTTTGTTGAGACCTTCAGAGATAGCCTGAAACCTTTTGAAACATGTGAGTTCAACAATCTCTAGCTCAGTTGTGCTGGGAAGTTAATTTTTTCCAAGATGAGAATGAGATCTGTAATGGGGTGTCCTGGGAAGTTAAAATGCTTTGATATTACTTGGTCCTTGCTTGAGTCCTGATGCCAAATTTATGTTCATTAATTCTTTTTGCAAAATTCTGTCTTTGTTCTATGTAGAATCCAGAGGGGCATTGCCTATATCACATTAAAGAAGCATGGGAAGGTGCTTCTAATCCTGTATACAAAGATGTTAGGTGATGGTGCTGTTGGTGTAAATGTGAGGCATTGTTATTCTAACGAGCTGACTGTATACTTAGATGTAGAGAGAGAGAGAAGCAGTCACTACACAGCCTTGAATCTGTTATGTTTCACTAAAAACTTAAATTCTATAATATTAGGGTTAATTGACAAACCCTATAAAGAATTCTCACAATTAAATGAACAACTAAAGAATAAATGCTACTCTGATTACATATCATGAAGTCAACTAACTACTGTTATAACAAGCATAATGTGGGGTTTTTTTGGTTTCAATTCTATTTCATCTCTCTATAAGAAAGATAAGATGAAAAAACATACAACTTATTATTAAATCTTAGAAACTATGCATTGTGCTGGTTTCTATAGATAACAAAACTCCAGAGGTTTCTTCACAAATCTTTCCAGAATAACTATCCAATCTGAAAAAGGTTGGATCAGTTTGTGGTATCACGATCTTTCTAGGCTCATTTCAACTCAGGGCAGTTTCATAAGGTGAAACTTGGAGATCAAAATTAGAGAAAAATATTCATCAACTTGATATGTCAACATGAACCCAACTTCAGGAATGTGTAAATATAATGTTGGCAAAGAAATAGCGCTATGGTATTTATGGGCTTTCCACATGTTAACTGCTTAGCACTCTATCAGACATGAATGAAAAAAGCCATTTGATTTATTCACTGAAGACTAAAAATTCAAGATTTTGCAAATAGAGCCTAGTTTTGATTATATCATATCATATCAAGCTATAGCAAAATGCACTTTATATTTGTGTACAAACTGAAAGCTTGGGCAGAGGTAGATCAGTGGTAGAAAAATCTTTTTTTTTTTCCTCAGAAATAGGACTGTATTGATGCTTGATTTTACTGTGCAACAAATTTGACCTCTCTGGTGGAAATGTAGAGCAGGCCCACATTTAAAAAAAGGAAAGAAGTACAAAATTGACGTATTAGAGCCAGATTATAGATACTATATTAGAATGGATTAGAGTAGATTAGACTAAGTCAGCAGGATAATTTGAAAAGAGTTGTTCTCAGAAATATCTGAGATATAAAATACAAAAGGAATAAGCTATTATGTTGTGTGGTAAATGTGAGGAGAGAATGCAATCAGGTGTACTACATGTTACAAAGCAGTCTTGTAGCATGGTTGACAACTGTTGCAATGGTGCAAATGGTTTGCACCATTTGTAATCCACCAAATCAAATGTAGAACACCAAACAAATATTAGTACCCTTTTTGTGCCAGGGGTTGCAAAAAGAGGAATTCATCCATAAACATATAGGCTGCAATCCAAGGCTTTGTAGCTATGTATGTAGCTTTCTAGCTATGTATGTAGTTTTGTAGCAAGAGGTGATCACAAGTCCTGCAGACCTGACTGCAAGGCAATAGAATAATAAGAGATCTACAGATCCTTCCCTGCTTCACAAGACTGAAAAGAGGGAACTTGGGCTTGTCCAAACAAAAGTGTAATATGACAGAAAGGATGGAGGAAGGCAGCTGACAAGAATCTGTGTAAAGTACAGTGTGGTTTCTCTAAAGCCATCTGTTTTTGTTTCTATGGAGGCAAGGGTAATAGAGGTGGAAAGGGCTCCTTTGACGGGCAGATTCCCAGGACCTCCCTTCTTAAATACCAGGTGGATTGCTCTCTTCTTTGAATCTATAATGGACATTCCAAGTGACCCATTTATAAATGTGTCAATCAGGATAACTTCCTTGGCTTAGCCAAATGTAGCCACTTTCACATGGAAATAATGCTAACACCATAATGTGCTATTTGTGCTCAAATGGATTACACAAGCAAGACCTCTGCCCGGCCTGATATTATTATATCAATAGGACATTCCTTTTCCTTCGAAGCTTAAAAATCCATCAAAGAAACTTAATTCCAATGATACTGCAAGCCGTTTGTGTGAAACTGTCAGTTTCCTTGCATAAGTACTGTGAACTTTAATTTGCTTGTTACACTAAAGCGTCTACAGCCACTGTGTCAAAAGGTGAAAACAAAGCAAAAGAAAACAAAACAAAAAAACAGCCTCTCATCAGCTTCAGACTTTTATTGTTTCAAATGCTAGGGTTTTTTCTTTTTTAAGGAA